TTTCTTATTATGTCTGTATGAACATAATAATGAGCTGGGTTTGATACACACACTTCTACCGAAACACAGCTAGAAGTTTTAATTTACTCTAACTTTTAAACGTTTATATTCCATCTATCTAAATTCCCGTATTATTTTTTTTGTACGTGTTTATGTTTGCTTAATTTCTTTCAATGCGGTTCAATCATTTGGAAATCAGCGGGTACAAATTGACACAATGTACTGTTTTCCACTTATTTTTCTAAATTTTAGAAGATACCTAATGAAAAATTTCGAATAATTGGAAATCAATGGCATTAAACAAAGATATCTGATTTTGTAGCTATAACAAGTTTTAATAAAATCAATAAAAATACGAGGTTAGATAAAATTTGTATTTCAAGAAGCTGTACCCTGCCACGCTTAGCCGTTGCACATTGTGGTTTCTAAAGATAGTGTTTTTTAAACGTACACAAACGAACTTAACATTTTTAAATATGTGAATTATGTGACCTGTAAATATGTTGACCTGTCTTGTATAAAAAAAATGTAGATGCAAAGCAGTTCAAGTTATGGTTGTCCTAGGCGAACCACATTCTTTTAAAACAGAATTTAAAAAAAAACACAGAAAAAAGAAGGTACTTTATCTTTATAATTTATAAACAACGATATGCATCTCTTAAATTGGAATCAATCTAGTGACAAAAAGAATAAAAATTCTTAGAATATTAAGTAAGGTTCTATAGCCGACGTTACTTTGTCAAATACGAGTATTTAAACGAAGTTGGATTACTTAACACGAATATGGTGAAACAAAACTAGAAACATATATTAAGTTAGCAAACGAGCGTAAAGCTGGCCTAATTGAGACCAGTTAAACAACTGAAAATGCTACTGTGTAATATTTTTTTTCAACTTAATGTACTTTCTGCATATTAAATTGCTTTAGGCGGATTTAATGCCAAGTGCCTTTTTGCCAGTAAACCTTTAGGTGGTGTAAAAGACGTGGCGGATGGATAAGAATGAAGTCTTAGAGAAGTAACGTGTTAAAATATTATCATAAAATAACGTATTGGGAACAATTAATGTTAGATTTCTATCCATAAGATACTACAGTTTTCTGATATTTAACGTCATTTTTTGGTTACAAAAGTACTATTAGTACAAAACAAGAAATCAAGACTTCACTCATTCAGTGAAATGCAATAAAAGAATAGCTAAACAATGAACCATGCTTCGCCCCCTTTTAAATCTACAGGGGCGAAGCATGGTTCTCCTGAGGTTAAATAATCTAAATATATCTAAAATAAATTCCTTCCTTCCTCTAAAAAAGAAAAAAAATATTTAGTAGTAAAGCAATATCTCACCAATGATTTTGCATATTACAATATTTTCGCAAGGAACGATTTATCATACGGGTAAAGTACAACGATAAAACATGGTAATTCTTTTACTACGAAAGGAGATCAACCTTAGCTTTACATGAATGCACTACCCACCCATTTTAATGGTTACGAGTATAACACAATAGCTTTGGCTTAGCAACGGTGACTGGTTAAATGGAAACTAATACTATTCGCATGCTGAACAGACTTCACGTACATTTAGATATAAACATTTTGAGATGGCGTCACCATGATGTAAAATAATGGTAGGGAAATGAGTTTTCTGAGAACTTGTGCAGTTCATTCTTGTTGATAAGAGAAGAAAATGGTTTGAGATTTAAGAAGATGCAGTAGTACGATTCATGTAAGAACTTTATCGATGGTTTGGGTCTGTTGTAAAGGTAAGTGGAGAACGAATGACTAATGAATTTTACAAGACTTCGGTAAAGAATTGTGGAAGGAGTCTGTGCGAGTAGACCCTAAAGGTGTAAATAAGATTCAGTATACTGAGGAAGAGGCTAGTCAAAAGTGTATATTCCAATCTGTGGAACGGGTTATCGTCTGTGGTATTTCCGCACCGACACGACCTTCAAACTTTCATAAAGAGCGTACTCTTTCCTAAAAGGCCGACAAAGCATTTGTGACTTCTGAGTTGCAGACGTTCATTGGCTGCGATGGTCACTTACTATCAGGTGACTCGTCCGCTGGTCTGCCCTCTATAACTTAAAAAAAAATGGTGTTGTTTTGTCTTTACCCACACCAGACGGGAATGAGGTGTGAACTTTTTGGAGATTTCGATATAGTGATTTGATATGATATGAACTTGGATAAAAAGAATATGTTATCAAGTTTATATACGTTAAGCTTTGTTCAATCACATTTTAAATAACTTTGTTCAAAATTAAAAATAATAATCTGCCTGAATTTTAAAAACACATTTTTAACTGTTGGTTCAAAGAGAAATGATGTTTTGGACTGTTTTAAATTTCATAGCTCCAGCAATCTTAAGTGCTACAGTGACGAAATATTTCTGAAGATATTAAATAAATGCCCTTTTTTGAAAGGGGATTTATGAAGGCTGCTTCCAAGAATGGGAACACAAATTGCTAAACTTTTCTGAGGGATTTGATACCATAAGAAAGTAATCAATAATAAATTCTATGCATGTTTTAGGGACGCCTTATCGGAAGGGAAAGTTCTGCATTATCATTTTCAATAGGGTTTCATCATGTGTCATATTTTATCGCAAAATCATGCGGTGGAAAGTAACAAAGTCGATATTTTCTTTGTAAATTTTTTACACACATTTCTAACTTAACAATGAAGGTGTAGTGGTATTTTTTATAAAACAAATCTGTTTTAAATTGCCCTTAAATTCAAGTTGTCGAAATTTCCAATCATAGTTTTTTTTTTTAATATCGTAATTCTCACAAGTGTTCCATCTGGTTAAAAACCTTTACAGTTAGTGTCTATTACCTCTGCTGTTTACTTAAATTCCAAATTAAAAAAATTAAAATATGATGCATTTCTTGTTTAGTCCGTTCTACAACCTAGTTTTTATTGACAAAACTTTACGGGAGTGGAGACACTTAAAAACAAATGAGTTCATTATTAAAAGGTCCTATCAACTGTCGATTTTATAATTGCACACATCACAAAATATACATTTACTTATTAAAATATATGTACTATATCAAGAAAGCAAAACCGTAACCAAGTCATGATGTGAGTCGGGTCGCACTCCAAATATAGTTTTGATTAATTACATTTGTGGACCCTCTTAAAAGTCACATGTCACAAGCGATGACAAAGTTTTAGAGGGTAAACACTTTTGTATGTGTATTTTCTCTATTCAGTCAGAGAGGCGCTGAGAGTTGAATGCCAATAATATTTATTCTGATGATAATTTCTTACCAACTATACATACGTACATACATACATGCTACTGTCGAAGGATGGGCAGGACATTTTGTCAAATATAAATTGGTTCAACTCGTTTAATACCTATCTTATTGCCGCCAACCGGGCACTGGTGGAATGAAAGGTGGAAAAAATGTGATTAGATGCAATTAAAAGAAGGCAAAAACAGAGAGGAAATAATAATTTTTGCTTACACTTCCGACTTCATCCATATGCAGATAAAGCTTGATTAGAGTTGCATACTTTAATAATTAGAAGACAAAATTCGAAATACACGGAAATGAAAGGTAGAATAGAGAGAAGACAATGGTAGAAAAAAGGCCGAATATCCCTTTTCTACCATTGATTTAAGCAATAGTTCGAGCAGGTCTGTGTCGCATACCTGTAACTGGAATGGTCTGTTGCTGTAAAATGGTTATTTAGACTTTATTATAATAGATTATCATTCATTGTTAACATCTTATTTATATACACAACAGCTAAATCAAAATCCATTCTAATATTATAAAGCTGAAGAGTTTGTTTGTTTGAAAGCGCTAATCTCAGGAAAGTTGTCAATTTGAACAAGTAGTGTTCAAATTGACACCTTTTTTTATTGTTACATAGCTCATTTCTCGAGAAACACTTAAAGTTATACAACATCACTCTATGAACAATAGAGAATAAAAATGTCACAAAAATCGGTAAAATTTATTCCATTACAGAGACGCAGACGAACACGCAGCTAGTGGATTATAATTCTTTAAAATGTAACTACATTTATTAAAAGACCTACATAATATCAACATATTCGAATAATAATTCTAGGCTTTATCTACAGAGTACAAATTACATACGTTAAAAGATAAACTTTTGTTCCCACGACACAAAACGTACTCGTAACTTTGTACTTTCCTGTGCGCGCAAAATTCTGCCTCTCACTAATGTTTTTAATTACAACTTTACCTAGAAAGTGTAACTTTGCGTACAATGCGTCGTTTCACAATCAATTTACCTATGGAACCTTAGGAGCTTTGTATATGTTGATATTATTGGATAAATATATGTACATAGATTCTCTACCATATAAATGTATGCCTAGGTTATATTTATTCTTGTAAATAATTTACTTTTAGACTACTAGACATCGAGGTTATTAATTTATTTTACAATTTATGATATATTATATTACTATTATGAAATGATATACTAAATTATAATTTATATTACACCAAAAATGGCAGGCTTAATGCTACAGACATTTTCTACCATTCCATCTTAGGGTGGTTCAGAAATATAGTTATTTTTGTGTGTCTAAGAACTATTATATCTAATGATTAGAGATTTAGTCGTGGGTGAAAATTTGGAAAATGTATAACGTTACGAGATATGATTATACAAAAAGTACAACCTAAATAGTAATAAGCAGTTAAATTCAAAATGGACGCAGATCTTGTTCAGATTCTGAAGAATAAAAATAATATTATTTTATACTATTATGTTGTATCTGAACCTATACTAAACATACTTCCTTCTACTATTCCTGGAACAAAAACATACTTAAAAACATCTTTATAAACATAATATTATATTATACATAGGCATATACAGATCAATGCAAATTGACATATTCATCTACGAAAAACATTTTAAGTGGCTGGAAATCGATACCTCGACTCCGCTTTTGAAATATTTATTCTCCCGTGCTCATTACAATAATAATTTCTATTTTTTTAGGAGTTCTCAAACTAAACGCGATACTGGCAACTGGAGCTCACTCTGGAACTTGGCGTATTGAAGCTAAATGTGGAGGAGGTACCGCCCGCGTAGACATCACTGTTGGAACTGGACTAGGTAGTACTGCACCAGCAGCGCCAGCCGCTGAACAACATTATGTGGAACTACGCTTCGCTGACAGCATGAGACGAAGATATAAGCCTGGATTGCCTTTTGTTGGTAGGGTAAGTACATGCTTTTTAAATAGTTCTTAACCTGTATAATATCCTTTCGTGGGCTAATAAATAACTTTTAGTAGTCTGAATTCTCTGAACAGTAAGGAATTTATTTTAATGCACATTTCAAGCTATTATTTAATTGTTCACATATGAATAATTAAAAGATTCTGCACGATTTTTTGACAACTTAACAATTTTTACAACCTTACATCCTTCAATCGAGTACGATAACTATACATTTATAAGATTTTACTAAGTCTACTGACAGCTATATATGTATGTATAATTCACTTTAGTAATTTCAATAGTTTGAAAAATAGTACTATTTGAGAAAATAGTGTAAATTAATATTTTTAATGAGATTAAGTTCAAGTGCGTGAATATACTCACGAGTAGACTATACAAAATTGTTACCCACTATATAAAATATTAAACTTCATTGAGAATTCAATACAGAGGTTCATTACATTCGTTCAGTTTCATTCTACATTACATTCAGTTTAACTTAATAAATATTAAGGTCGTCTTCTTCATAATTTTTTCATTTTGTTCGAGTCTGAAATTGTACAAGCCTGAATGGTAGTAAATAGCGGCTCGTTAGCTCATTCCGTTGGAACTTTTGACGTAGTCTTTACCTAAACCGTAGACAAAGGTGTAAGTTAATATTAATGTGGATATTCTTTTTTCGTTTTTATCTACGCAGATATTGTGTTACAGATATTAACTGTAGGAGAAATAAATGAATACACATTGAGTACTAAATTTTGATTTCACCCACTAAACTAAACTCAATTAGGTCTGAAATATTATTTATCAACACAAATGTATTTTGAAGTCTCAATATCTTCAATAGTGGTAACTATTGATGCTATTGAGACTTCATGATTTAATTTAATTTTAACAAAATGTAAAAAAGGGAGAGAAATTTATTTCTTTTAATTACAACGGTTTTACACATTACATTCATACTTAATCCGCGTGTGACGGATTAAGAATACAGAGTGTCACCCCTATTCATCCCGTGGGTGTCGTAAGAGGCGACTAAGGGAGGAAACTACGCAGGGTAATAGCACTGCAGAGAGAAGGAAAACTTGATACAAACCCTTTTTTTTTTTTTTTTTTTTTCTTAACGTGTGGAAATCCCCTCGGACCGTCACCCCTCCGGGGTTTGCGGCGGGGTGGTGTGTCGGACTCGGACCGACTAAAACCACACGGTGTGCCACTCTGCGCCTGTAACAGGAGGGATCCGGGAACAGCTGTTGTTAAGACATCCGGACCCCTCCTAGCGCCAGCCCGCTCCTGGTGCGGGCTCCGTCTCAATGTTTTTCCTCTCTTTTAGGCGACGTCCGGCACACGCGGACGCCGCCCCCCCCCGCGGCTGGCCAAACTAATGCGGGTGGAGGGGAAACCCACCCCGTCCACCCGCGGCCACACTCAGGGCGGCATGAGGCTGTGATAGGCGGGCCTCCGCCGCCCGGTTCGCCGGCGACGGATCGGGTCCGAGTGGAGGTCGTCCTCCCGGGCCCTCTCCGCCGCCTCCTTCCGCGAGATTACTACCTCGCAGAAGGTTGCGACCCGCGGTTAAAACAACTGTCGCTACCGGCCATGGAGCGTACTACGGCCGGTAGCGAGAGATCCACTCCGATGACTGCAGTGAGGGCCCGGCGCTGCGCCACCCATGCGGGGCAGACCGCCAGCGTGTGCTGGGCCGAGTCCCTCACTGCAGTCGCAGTGGTGGCAGGCGGGGACTCAGTTCCCTCACTTTAGCAAACCCTCCGGCGGGGAACCTGGGACCACTGGCGGCGCGCGGTCACGCAGGCTTGACGCAGCCGTGCGATCTCCGGCGACCACCAGTAGACCTGGCGCCTCGCAGTATTGGGCTGAGCCCTAGGCATCGCCGCATCGCAGACGCGGGTCATGGCCTCCCGGAACCACTGTGCCTCATCATCGACGTCGACAGGCCTGTCCGGCGCAGGAGCCCAGGCCTGTACGATGGCGGCTTCCAGGAGGAGGTCGCGATCTAAGCGCTTGAGCGCCCAACGTGGTTCAGGTGGTGCCGGTCTGACCGGCGCGCCATCTGTAGGGGCGGAGACGTCAAACCGAATATATCGGTGATCCGAACCTGTCTCCTCCCCGACAACGACGCGCCAGCCTTGGACACGACGCGCTAGCGAGGGGCATGCGAACGAGATGTCCACAATCGAACTACCCCTCGCCGTCACGAACGTGGCCACGGCCCCCCGGTTTAGGAGAACTAGGCCGAATCTTTCAGCCCAGTTCTCCAATGCCCTGCCCCTCGGGTTCGTGCGCAGGGAACCCCAAGCCTGCGACCAGGCGTTGAAGTCCCCCAGCACAAGAACCGGGTGGGGGCGACAGGCATCGACGACGACGGCCAGCTGAGCGAGCCATTGCTCGAACTCAGTTATGTTTCGGTTCGGCGTGAAATAAGCGGCCACGACCGCTATATCTCCAACTATCGCCGCTACACAGCCCCGTCCCCTTGCAACTACTGCAAGAGGTGGAGTGCCGGCTGCGGTACCGTGCACCAGGGCCGCCGTGCCGTCCAAGTCGGTCTCCCAGGCAGGCCCGAGAAACCGATGGACATATGGCTCGGCGATAGCGGCGATGTTGATGGACCACTGTGCCATGCTCTGGAGCAGAAGATCCTGAGCATCGGCACCGTGGCCTACGTTCACCTGGAGGATGCGGAGATGTGGATCCATCACTGGACTTCCATCCCCGCATCCCGCAGCGAGCTTTGCGGCTGTCCAGCGGCACTCTCCGTCTGGATCAGCGGCTCGGAGGCGGAAGGTCGGCCTCCCGGCTTCGGTCGCGATAGGGCACAGGCCTTACCACCAACCCGGTGGTCGGCAGGCTTGCCCCCCGCTGCGCACCTAAAGCAACGCAGCGGAGCGTTGCAGCCACCCGCCTTGTGACCGGGCTGGCCACAGCGGAAGCATCGGTCACCTACGGTGGCCTCCGCCGTGCAGTGCACCCCTACGTGACCCACCGACAGGCACCTGAAGCACCTTGCCGGTCGGGCCTGCAGGAGTCGTGCCTGCGCCCTCAGGAAACCTCCGACCAGGAGGCTCCGTCCATCGGCGACCTTCTGGGCCGCCGCGATGGGGCAGCTGACAACCGCTGCCCCCTGTCCACCGGGGCCGAAGCGTATTGCTCCGGCCTTCACGCTGTCCAGAGGGCAGCTTCCCGTCTCCGCCACGGCGAGTCTGAGCTCGTCCGCCGTGACAGAGTCGTCCAGGCCCGTGATGCGGATTTCGGCGCATTTAGTGGGCCTGGACACTCGGACGTCAGCTGCATCCAGTGACTCCCTCAGCTTAGCCGCTAGGGCATCGGCTTTGGGGCCACTGGTAGCGCCGGCTACCTCGAGGAGCCGGGCTCCCGTCCGTGTGTTTTTACACCGGACGCCCGGAATCTCGAGGGCTTTGAGGTCCACGTTGGCCTTGACTTTCGTCAAGACCTCGGCGTACCCCACGCCCCTCTCCGCTGCCTCCGCCGTCAAAGTGATTACGACGGCCGAGGAGCGAGGGGCGCGGAGCTTCCTCGGCGCTCCCTTCGCGGCGGCGGCGGCGTCCCTCCTCGCCTTCTTGGCCGCTTTTTTGGCGGCCTTCCGCCTCTTTTTGGTGTCCCCGGCCACCGTCCAGCCCCGCTCCAACGGGCGCTGTGCTGTGTCAGCCGGGGCCGAGACTGGGGCTTGAGTTGGGGCCGCCTTCCCCCTCCCTTTGCCCTTTCCGGCCTTCTGGGGCGGGGGCGCTGATGACGGCCCAGCCACCCTAGCTGCTGGCTGGGCTGTTAGGCCCGCCTTGGCAGCGGCCGCATATGTCGCCTTTGGCGGAGCCAGAGGTGGGCGACAACGGGCGCTCTCTATTGCGGAGATGCGCCTCATAATCCGCTCCTCCATCTCCGCCATGAGTCGGACTAAGCCCGGCTCCGGCTCCGGGGCGGACAGCGCCAACGGTGCCGAAGGCGCTGGTGTGGCACCAGCGTGGGCACGAGCCTTGGCGAGATCCGCCTCGAGGCGGGCTCTCTCCCTAGCGTGGGCCCTGCTCTCGGCCACAAGGAGTCTGCCCGCCTCGATTATGGAGCGCACGACCGCTACCAGGGCCTCCTGTTGGGGGCCCCCGGCCACACCGGACGTCTGAAGCAAGCAATCGGCCGCGCCGATTGCCTCCTCGATCCGGTCGACGGGGTTGCCGGTTTTGCCTCGCAGCTCAACGAGGCCAGCACCCCCACCCCCGCTCCCCACATCAGTGGTCGACATCTCGGACGCGACCCCCTCCTGTTGTCTCCGTCCAAGACCCCCATCTTCGGCTCCTCCCAGAGCCGCGGACTGGACCGCCACCTGCTTTCGGGCCACCATGGCCTTGGGGAGTCGGCCTCCGCCGCGAGCGCCTCTGCGGCTTGTGCCGACTTTGGGAGCCGAGGCCTCATCGCTCGAGGCCGACTCCAATTGCCTCTTCAGGCCCAGGCGAATCGAGCGCCTTTTGCGCTTTGGAGTACCCTTCTGGTGCTGCTCTGCAGCTGAGACCATCGGGGTACTCGCTCCGCTCCTCTCCGAGGCAGTGTCGGTGTTCGACACTACCTCCAGGTTTTTCGCGTCCTCCGCGATAACGTCGCCGGATTTACTGCTCGGCGACGGGCAGGTTCGACATTTGGTGCTCCCCCCAGAATACGAGTGGGAGCTGCCGGAGCCGTTTGGCTCCGGGAGGGATTCCCCAGACACTGTGTGTCCGGGACCCTCCTGGGTAGATTTAATAATCCTTGGCCTCATGTCATTTGGTGAGTTTTACGTCCTTCGACGGGGACGCCTTCGGCACTGGACTCCCTCCAGCGACTCAGCCCCTTGCCAGGCGTCAGAACGTGGGCTTAGAGCATTTTTTATAGAGGTTTACGTCCTCGCGGATCCGAAGATCCACCGGTCCTGTCCATTCAGGATTACGGCTGGGCCGGACGGGGTCTGCACCAGACCGGGTCCGTCCGCCC